TGCAGGCAATACACTCATACACATAGAATAAAAATAATAAAATATATTTTAGAAAAGAAAAAAAAGAGTTCAAGGGTTTACACTTCCTAGAGATTATATTTAAGTCCATATAAAATATTATTTAGACAATTATTTCTCATTGATTTTGTTTCTAATCACAAAGTGCTGCTCAGATGTAAGACTTCAAATCTTGGTCTGCAATACTGTAATGCCCACCAGTAGCTAAGGGAGGACAACCCACTATTGTTCTAAAATGATGACTAAATTTGTTTTCTCCTTTTATCTAGAAGCCTTAGAGAGTGAACTGACACTGATTCTAGCCACTCTAACAATATCAAAGTGCCTGAAAACAAATACTGAGTCTATCGAGTTCTCGAAAAATGAGGAGGAACCCAATGGAGGGATGCTTTAGGAAGCTCTCATAGAGAAATTCCAATGGACTCTGATATAAACATTTGAAATTTGCCCTGTTCTGACTTTTTTCTGGTTCCCTGTCTGGAACTTGTAATGCTAACCTCTCTTACCTTTACTTCTCCTTCACATCCCCTATTCACCAGTCAAGGACTTTCTTTTTTCCCTACAGATAAGAGTTATACAATTTGGGAGTCTTTTAGATAGACCCACTGAAGGGGTACCCCAATCGCCTCACCCTGCGTCCCTGTTGAGCATGGAAGAAGCCAGAGTGGTCTGTGTCCCTATTCCCTACTGGCAATTTGGGTAACCTCTTCAGAGGATGGTGTAATAAGAATAGGAGGTAGGAATTGGCTAAGCAGTTAGGGTAAAAAGACCCCAAAGAAAAGTAGCCAGTTTCTTAGATAAAAATCAAAATGTCTTTAGCCTCTTAGCAACATGCTGCTCCAAAGGCCAAAAATGTCAAAAGTATTTGGAAGCTCTTAGCTAATCCCTAAAAGCTTTTAGGGTTACCTCTTCAGAGGGGGGAATGTTAGAGTAGCAAAAAGCCCCATTTAAAAAAAAAGAGTATATAAAGTTGTTCAGGAAAAAGTAATGGGGAGATATGAAAGGAGTTGGAGGGGAGGACGTGGGCGTGGATTTGATCAAAACACCTTATATGCATGTATGAAATTCTCAATAAATTTTTTTAAAAGTTAAAAAAAGGAATAAATTGCTACTCTGCCTTTAATCCCAGCACTTGGGAGGAAGAGGCAGGTGGATCTCTGTGAGTTTGAGGCCAGCCTGGTCTCCATAGTGAATCCAGGTAAGCTGGGGCTACAGGGAGACCCTGTCTCAAAAAGACCAAAAAAGAAATTGCTACTCTAAGTTCATAAAGCAATTCTCTATTTTCTACTAAAAGTAACAGGATTTTGCTTTTTACAATTAGATGTTTGATACATTTGGAATGAATATTTATATATAATATGCAGCAGGCAACTAATTTTTTTCAAAATGGACAGTTATTTTGTACCAATGATAAAGAATTCACCCCTTCTCAGCTGATCTGCAAAGCTGTCCATGGACATCATTTTCATACATGTGGAGCTGCACAGCTGCTTCTAGACTCTTCTGATCCACCATTTATTAACAGACTACTAACCAATATTTCCCTGCTAAGCACCATGGCTTCACAGTAAGCCTTAGAAGAGAACACAGATCTGCCTAGCTCTTTTTATGAAGCATCTTGATTATTTTTTAACTTTTTGCCTTACATAAAATTTTAGAAATGAGCATTAGTTTATGTCAAAAAAGTTGAAATTAACGTAAGAACCACAATAAATCTATAGAATAATTTAAAAGAATAAATCTAAGATTACCCATTATCTTTTTTGTTTAGGTAAGGTTCTATAATTTTCTCCATAAAGAGAATGATACTTTTTTAAACATTTTCATTTATTTTTATTTTATGTGTATGAGTGTTCTACCTGCATGTATGTAAGTGCACCTGTGTTGTGCAATGCTATCAAAAAACACAAGAGTGGGGGCTGGAGAGATGGCTCAGTGGTTAAGAACATGTGGATGCTGGGATTCAAATTTGGTCCTCTGCAAGAACAGCCAGTGCTCTTAACTGCTAAGCCATCTCTCCAGCCCCGAGAATGATCCTCTTAAAATTAAGTGTACTTGGGCTGGAGAGATGGCTCAGCAGTTAAGAGCACTGACTGTTCTTGCAGAAGACCTGAGTTCAAGTCCCAGCACCCACATGGCAGCTACAAACTGTCCTTAACTCTAGTTTCAGGGGAATCCGAAGTCCTCTTCTGACCTCCGCGGCACTGTACGACATGGGCGCACTCACATACATGCAGGCAATACACTTGTGAATATAAAATAAAAATAAATAAAATACTAAAAAAAAATTAAGTGTACTCCTAGGTATCACAGAATTTTGGATGCTACAGAAATGACAGCTTGTGTCGGGTGTGGTGGCATATGCCTTGGCTTTTTCTTTTTCAAATTTTTTTGTGCATTTGTGTGTATGTGAGCATATGTGTGCCATGACATGTATGTGGAGGTCAGAGGACAACTTGTGGGAATCAGTTCTCGTTCTCTCCTTCCACCAAGTGGATCCCAGGGATCAAACTCAGGTTGTCGGGCTTGGCAGCTGGCACCTTTACCCACCCTTTACTAGACCCTCCCTTTGGGTTTCCTTTTGGTCTTTTTGAGACAGGGTCTTCTTGTAGCCCTGACTGTCCTGGAACTCACTATGTAGACCAGGCTGGCCTTGAACTCACAGAGATCCGCCTGCCTCTGTTGGGATTAAAGGCATGCACCACTATGCCCGGCCCTCCCCTTGGATTTTCTATGTGAGTAACTTTATAAATGAGAGAGTTTCACTTGATGCTTTTTAATAGCGCTATCTTTGTCATTTTAACACAGTGATCACATGAATTGATGTAGCTTCCACTCTGTGCTCTTCTGCACAATAAATGCTAATGACAAACAGTGACAGCAGTAGCACAAACACTGAAGAGTCAGAGTTGATACAATTTTTACCTCTTCCAGGAGATTGTGTAATGTCCAGTTGCTACTCCACCTTCAATATTCCCAGTGGATGGACAACGAAGACAGAAGCATTCACTAGCACTTTCTCCTGTCTGTAAGATAACTACAAGAAAGAATTCTTATTAACCTTTTGCGGAATTTTCATCTATGAGAATTTCACCCTCAAATAATACAACAAAGGAATAGTTTATAAATTAATTTTAGAAACTTAGAAACTAAGGCTCAAAGATGTCAAGATACCTTTTCAAAGTCATAAAGTCCAGTATTTCGGCTAATTATTCATTACAGTAAAAACCAGTGGGGAGGTTGGTGCAATGGCTCAGCAGGTAAGAGCACTTACTATGCAAGTATGAGGGCCTGAGTTTGGATCCCCAGCGCCCAAGTAAAATTTGGGTATGGCCACATGTGTACCTATCATCCTGGTTTGGAGAGGGATGGAAACAGGAGGCCTGCTGGGGCTTGCTGGCTGCTAGCCTAGCTCCAGATTCATTGAGACCTTGTCCCAAGGGAATAAAGTGGAGAATAATAAAACAGGACATGTGACGCCCTCCTCTGGCGTCGTAATGTGCACGTGGACACATGCACCTGTATACATATGCATACATATCACATACATACACACACCCACACCCACCCACACACACCCCCCCCACACACACACAAAACCAATGGAGGTATCTATGTCTGCAACAAAGCCCTACTAAAAGTGATAAATAGGGTGAGTGTGCAGACAAAATGATGCCCCATAGTAATTATTTTTCTTTTCAAAATTATTTCATGTCTCTAAAAGAAATATTTTGGCATAAAGAAGAAAAGAGAAAACTTCAGTTACTGTCAAAGTACTGAAAATGTTATTTTGAGAAATTCTGGCTTTCTTATTCATTTACTCTTGATCTCACTCAAATAGAAGCACATTACTCACTACCCCATAACTCCCTCGTGTTGCTACTCACCTCTCTGTACAAGAAGATTTCCTTTTTACCAGTTTTATAGTAAACTCCTTGGTGACAAAATCCATATAAATAAAAATTTCTCTACCTTTCAGCACTCTACAGCTCAAAATGTCAGTCTTTAAACACAAGTGGGTGAAGGTGTCTAGCTAATGCCAATTGTAGCAAATTTGTGATTGCAACTTTGAAACAGTTATCAATATTCCTAAACATTAGGTTGACAGCTTTATGGTTTTCCAAAGAAGAAGACTAGACTAGATTAATGGAGATCTGACCCTGGA